CGGTGTGTTGAGATTCTATTTCCCGAAAATAGTCCTCGCCGAGGGTAGTTCTCTCTCCTGAGTCCCTGGGATGTATAATATTAAGGCTGGTCCCTCTAATATTATACAGAGAAGATCAAATATAGTATCTATGTTGGAAACATAAAATAACAAAATAAAAAAATAATTCATTTTATTTTTCTATTATCAGCTTGATACAATACAAATTCTTATCCTAATAGTGAAATGTTTCACTGAAGCTTGCCCAGTGACTGAGTAAAACCAAAACTTATTATAAACCAGTCATCCAGTCATCCTAGGGTCCGCACTGCTTTGTAGCCTCCCTGGTACTGTGGGTTGCAGTCTGATTGTTCTTTGCTCTATATCTCGAAAAAGGGCAATCTTACCAAAAGCAATCTACAAATTCAATGCAATTCCCATCAAAATCCCAATACAATTCTTCACAGACTTGGAAAGAACAATACTCAATTTCATATGGAAAAACAAAAAACCCAGGATAGCTAAAAGAAATCTGTATAATAAAGCAACCTCTGGAGGCATCCCCATCCCTGACCTCAAGTTCTACTATAGAGCTATACTAATAAAAACAGCTTGGTACTGGCATAAAAACCAAAATACAAACCAATGGAATCAAACTGAAGACCCTGACATTAATCCACATACATATGAACACCTGATTGTTGACAAAGAAGCCAAAACTATACAATGGAAGAAAGAAAGCATCTTCAACAAATGGTGCTGGCATAACTGTATGTCCAAATGTAAAAGATCACAAATAGATCCATATCTGTCACCGTGCACAAAACTCAAGTCCAAGTAGATCAAAGACCTCAACATAGATCTAGTGACACTGAACTTGATAGAAGACAAAGTAGGAAGTACTCTTGGCACCGGAGATCACTTCCTAAATAAAACATAAGCAGCACAGACACTGAGAATAACAATTAATAAATGGGACCTCCTGCAACTGAGCAGCTTTTGTACAGCAAAAGACACGGTCAGTAAGACAAAAAGACAGCCTACAGAAAGGGAAAAGACCTTCACCAACCCCTTTTCTGAGAGAGGACTGATCTCCAAAGTATATAAAGAATTTAAGAAACTAGACATCAAAATACTGAACAGTCCAATTAAAAAATGGGCTAAAGAGCCGGGAGGTGGTGGCGCACGCCTTTAATTCCAGCACTCGGGAGGCAGAGACAGGCAGATCTCTGTGAGTTCAAGGCCAGTCTGGTCTCCAAAGCGAGTTCCAGGAAAGGCGCAAAGCTACACAGAGAAACCCTGTTTTGAAAAACCAAAAAAAATAAATAAAAAAATAAAAAATAAATAAAAAATGGGCTAAAGAGCTAAATAGAGAATTCTCAAAAGAAGAATCTCAAATGGCTGAAAGACATTTAAAGAAATGCTCAACATCCTTAGTTTTCAGAGATATGCAAATCAAAACAACTCTGAAATACCACCTTACACCTGTCAGAATGGATATGATCAAAAACACTAATGACAGTCAATGTTGGAGAGGATGCGGAGCAAGAGGAACACACATTCACTGTTAGTGCGAGTGCAAACTTGCACAACCACTGTAGAAATTAATGGCAGTTTCTCAGAAAATTGGGTATTGATCTACCTCAAGACCCAGCCATAACACTCTTGGACATATACTCAAGGAATGCTCAATCATACCACAAAGATACATGCTCAACTATGTTCACAGCAGCACTATTTGTAATAGACAGAACCTGGAAACAACCTAGATGCCCGTAAACTGAAGAATGGATTAGAAAATGTGGTACAGGGCTGGAGAGATGGCTCAGAGGTTAAGAGCACTGCCAGCTCTTCCAGAGGTCCTGAGTTCAATTCCCAGCAACCACATGGTGGCTCACAACCATCTGTAATGAGATCTGGTGCCCTCTTCTGACATGCAGGCAAGAACACTGTATACATAATAAAAAAAAAATCTAAAAAAAAAAAAAGAAGAAAAAAAAGAAAATGTGGTACATATACACAATGGAGTACTACTCAGCAGAGAAAAACAATGAAAGCATGAAATTTGCAGGCAAATGGAAGGAACTAGAAAACACCATCCTGAGTGAGGGAACCCAAACCCAGAAGGACAAACATGATATGTACTCACTCATAAGTAGATACTAGATACGGAAACATGAATTATATAATTATTTTACAAAATAAACATCACATTCCTTACTCTGTACGTTAGATGTCTGGACATGTTTTTGGATTTTATAATCCATATGTTGTTTCTGATTCTTCTTAAAGCAACAGTATGTGGAGTGTGTCCAATAAGGATTTAGGACACGCACTCTCATAGATCTGACTTAAATTCATACAGATGCTGCCGAGAAGAGAACATTGGAATGCAGATTTTGAAAGAGTTGGTCATGGAACCACACACACCTTTCAACTCACAATATGTTGCTGGATTTGATGACGACTCTGGAGGACACTAGGACAGACACAAATACAACCAGAGCTGACGATGTGATCATATTCAATCAATGAATCATAATCAATGAATACCTGGGCTGCTCAGGTTTACTCCTTACATATGTATTTGATTCCTGTTCAAATCTTCTGCAATGTCTCTCCATGGACTCTATATAATCATATAGATGGATCAACAGGAACTGAATGTCATCACCCAGCACACCTCCCCTCCAGAGTTTTCCAGACATGACATATCTAACACAGCAAGGCTCATGCATGAGTTGTAAACACAAGGAACTCCCTCCCTCACACTGAAATTAGAATACAATGAAAGAAGCCTGGGAGGAAAGAGACAGGACTGCTCAACAAGGGGAACTGGATTGGACCTGTGAAGAGCAGGAACCAGCATTAGCATTTGGCTTCACTGGTTGGACATGGCAGTGCCCATGTGAAGGACAGGGAGGAAGTGGTTTTGTTCTGGATAACTGCAAGAAGCATCTGCACACAGTGGAACCTCTGGTGTAAGGACAGGGGAAGGCATCCCAGCTGTAGCTGAAGAAAAAGACCCAGGAATGTAACCACAGCAGCCGTATCACTCAAGAACTGCAGAATGGAAATGAAGAAATAATGTAGTCTCGGATTAGATACGAAAGGAGCAACCTGAAAAAAATAAATAAAACCAGAAGAAATCAACATCAGGTCATGACAGTAACAAACACAGATTAATATCCAAAAAGAATGAACAATCACTACATATAGGGAGGAATATTTTAGGCAGTTAAAGAGAAATTCTTCCTCACAGAGTAAATGAAAACAAGTATGTAATCACCAAAATTTAATACCTATAACGAAAGCATGATAGTGAATGAAGAGGCCTAACTTAACATCAGTGCAGCCATGACAGGCTGCAGACTAATGATACAAGGACTAGGACTCACCCTTACTATAACCAGGAGAAGCAACAGACTGTAACCTGCAGGAGACCAATCAAAATTGAGACAAGTACTAAAAGCTCTAGAACACAAAGAATAGCTTACATAATTTGTATATAGTTTGCCAATTTTCTTGCAGCAATGCCCATACCAGTCACTGTTTAACAAAACCTCTGTTACCTCACTCCTGCCCAATCAGGAGTTCAACCCTCATCTGAATCTGGAATTTTCCTACCCCCATCCTTTACTCCTTAAAAACCCTGCCTCAACTGAGCTCAAGGCTCTCCCTGATCCAACTGCTGTGCTGGAATGGACAGAGAGCCCAAGCTTATGCTTACAATAAAGGTTCTTTGCTTTTGCATATGAACTTGGACTCCTGGTGATCTCTTGTGGGCTCATGACACATAAGAGTGAAAAAAAGTCTCAATTACACATGGAATAGACCATAGAAATTAAGGACATGTAAGATAAATGAAATGAACAAAAGAAAGTATCAAGTCCATAAAATATGTTCAAGTGTTTCCTGTTACAGAATCAGGTAGCATAAGCTGTCCTTGAATTTGTTTTGAAATACAGGAGGGCCAGACGGTCCTGCCTGCCCCTCACATGTGCAGAGATCTCAGGGATGTGCAATAGAGTAGACTTTCTTTCCTATCAAAGGTCTGTTTGCTTTAAATCAGATGAATAAACACAGAGTTCTATGAGCTCTTCCTCACCCTGCTGACCTGACACAAATGCCTGGCACTGGAACCCAAGGCCATGAGAGTTTTTCATCTGTTCCTAGGAACCCTGCTTGCAGACAAACTCAATAATGTCAAGGCTAGATGAAGACATGTTGACAAAACCATTTGGGGACAAGCAGACATTCTGCCTTTTTTATTTACTCAACTCTAAATCAGGATTAAAGGAACTGTCAAAAATTTAAGAAAACCCACCCTCAAGGTGAATCTGGGTTCAGCTTCTCTAGTCCCCATTCAGCTTTGGACTGAGTCTTTCCCTCCATATGACTGCAGAATGTGTATATTCTCGCCCTAATCAAAGTTTTTCTATAGTAGCTGATTCTGGCAGATTTCCCAGAACTGCTGGCCTCAGGTTTTTCCTCCCTTAATTCTCGAACTGGCAGAGAGGATAAACACAATCAAGACCTCAAGACCGTTATACTAGGCCAGCTACAGAGTTCAGGAAAGACCCGAAACCGCGTTTGCTCTACAAATATTGAGAAATCTGACAGCGTCCATATGAGAACGGCTCAGCTATAGAAGCATGCTTCCTCACCAAAGCTGCAGTGTGCTCCCAGCTCCAACTCAGGAGCAGGCAGTCAGCTGACCACCATCAGTTTGCAATCCTGGACTTTGCACTATCATCTACTCCGCACTACCAGGCATCTCTCCTGTCCCAGAAGCACAAGATGAACTCGGGCTGCACGTGGCGTCCTAAGGAAACCATCACTCAAGGCACAGTCCCTATCACCCTCTCCCCAGAGCTGAGCTGAAACCCCACGTGACTCAACCAGTTCAGCACAGCACTCCAAGGAAGCTTATTCCGACCTTCCACCCAAGTCCGCAACCTTCCAAGAAGGAACCCAGGACCCCACATAGCGACTCAGACTGAGCTGCACCCTGGACCAACCTCCATGTCAGAGATGCAACAGGATTGTAGAGCAGGGTTGGACTCTCGCCCAACTTTGAAGAAGACCCTCCTTTGGCGACCGAAAACCGGAAAAGGATTTTCTTGGCCGCTTCCTGTGACGTCACAGTCGCATGGACTACATTTCCCAGAAGTCTGTGCGAAGGAATTCCTGGACTCCTTGTGTGATAGTTACTCCTCCTGGATTAGTTCCGGCTGCCTGCAGTAGAGATGGGACTGAGAAACAGAGTGAGTGGGCTGGACAGCTGTTAGGCCTGAGAAAAACCAACTGCACGAATGTCTGATTAAAGCAAGCTTCATGTTACAGGAGCACCAGGAACTGATCAGTTGGCTTTCTCTCCCAAAGTCGGTATTTCAGAGAGCAGCCCCTCGTTGCCTTTTGGGGTCCATTCTAGGGGAAGAGTTAAGGTTAATAGAAAACAGATGTCGAGATAATTGGGCCTTAGAAGTGATGAAATTTAAAAAATAAAAAATGCTAGTTCACTAATACATCATATGGCAGGGGAATCATCAAGGTATCTGGAAAACCATTTTCGTAAGGCAAAAGTGCAATCATATTACAGGTTATTTTTGTAAGGCAAATTGTGAGCATACATCATTGGGTCACAAGTTCAGCATAGGTTGAAACATGTTTTGGAGGGTACATTAGGCTTAGTAATCAGAAACATTCTTGTAAACTATGTGGATTTAATATCAATATAAAAAAAATGTGGTTTCTTAACAACAATTTGGCTACTGTTTTGGTTTCAAATAGCCATGGGGAGTCAGTCTGGTGTTCACCACCTGATCTACAACACCAGATGTGTGAATGTGTGCTGCTGGAGATTTTCTTGGCTCTTCTGGGAGCCCGCCAACCAGCTCCCAAATAAATTCATTCACGGACGCTTTTTCTTATTTATGAATGCTCGGCTTTGCCTTGGCTTAGCTTCTTTCTTGTCAGCTTTCCTTAATTTATTACATCTACCTTTTACCTCTGGGCTTTTCCCGTTCTCTTATTTCTGTGTCTTACTCTTACTCTGTGGCTTGCTGTGTGTGTAGCTGAATGGCTGGCCCCTGGAGTCCTGCACTTCTGGCTGCTGGATCTCTAATCCCTGTTTCCAGATTTCTCCTTCTATTTATACTCTCTGCCTGCCAGCCCTGCCTATCCTTTCTCCTGCTTTGCTATTGGCCAGTTCTTTATTAGACCATCAGGTGTTCTACACAGACACAGTAACACAGATTCACAGAGTTAAACATGTACAACATAAACAAAAGTAAAGCGCCTTAAAAAAATTCTACTACAAATGTGAGTCGAGACTTTAACAGAAATATTAGGCTTACAGGTCATTTCTGGTGCACATGTTCTCATTTTACTTACTACAGCATTAAAAAAAAAATCATGTTGATCAGTTGTACTTTAAAATGATAAAGCAATACTGTGTGGGATAATCTTTTTTTGTACACTGTGAAAATCTGTCTTTGCCAAGGCACCTTCTGATATCTTTAATAGAGCTGAGTGGCCAATATCGAGGCAGGAGAGGACAGGCAGGATTCATGGGACAGAGCAGAAGAAATGAATCCAGTTGCAAGGAGACACCTGCTACTTGAGGACCAAGACAGGCATACAGAATGGTGGAGACAATTAAAGAGAAGCCATGGGGCAGATCGAAGATTAATGAAGGCAGGTTAAATTGAGTTATAAGAGGTAGCTAGGGAAAAGCCTACACTAAAGGGCAAGTGTTCATAATCACTAAGAAATCTCCCTGAATGTGCTCCCCATGCTGGATAACCTTGCCCAGCTTTTATGCAGAGGGAGGAGCTCAGTCCTACCTCAACTTGATATGTCATGCTTTGTTCAAGCACATGGGAGGCCTGCCCCTTTCTGAAGGGAGACAGAGGAGGAGTGGATGGGAAGGGGAATAGATGTGAGTGTGTGTGTGTTTGTGGGGGGAATTGGAGGGGACGAGGGAGGGGAAACTGTGATTGGTATGTAAAATAAATGAAAAACCATTAATAACATAAAATAAAAGGAGTCTTCCTGTCGTTATTTCAGACTGTTGGTCCAGACAAGTAAGGAAAACTGCACAATACAGTAACGTGAATGAAAAGTATCTTTAAGAAGATTTTGAATCCAGCCTTGTTCTCCGTGAATGTGCTAAGTGCTCAGAGGCTTCTGACAAATGGACCCAATCCAAACCTGGACTGGAAAATTTAGAGACATTCTCTGGGGTGGGGGGTGGGGAACAGAAGACAAAAACAAAACAAATAAACCCAAAGTAAAGAAATTGAGGAAAAGATGAACAAAAAAGTGGAGGAAATCAATAAAGAAGTTGAGAAAAAGTCAAACAAAAAATGGGAAGAAATCTATAAAGAACTAGAGGAAAAGACATATAAAAAATTGGAAGAAAGCAACAAATCCCTTAAAGAAAACCATGAAGAAGCAAGGAAACAGGTGAGGGAAACAGTTCAGGACATGAAAAGGGAAAAAGAAACAGTGAAGAAGACACAAGCAGAGGGAATGCTGGAAACAGAAAATCTGAGTAAACGAACAGGAAACACAGATGCAAGCAAGTATAACCAACAGAATACAAGAGATGGAAGAGAGAATCTCTGGTGCAGAGGATACAATAGAGGAATTGGATTCGTCAGTCAAAGAAAACAACAAAGCCAAAAAAGTCATAACACAAAATGCCCAAGAAATCTGGGACACCATGAAAAGACCAAACCTAGGAATAATAGGGATAGAAGAAGGAGAATACCAACTCAAAGGCACAGAAAATATACTAAACAAGATCATAGAAGAAAACGTTCCCAACTTAAAGAAGGAAACACCTATGTTAGATACAAGAAGCCTATAGAACACCAAACAGACTAGACCCCCCAAAAGTCCCCTCACCACATAGTAATTAAACAACTAAACCTACAGAATAAAGAAAGAATATTAAGAGCAGCAAAGGGAAAAGGCCAAGTGACTTATAAGGCAGACCCATCAGAATAACACCCGACTTCTCAGTGGGGACTTTGAAAGCCAGAAGGACCTGGACAGAGGTAATGCAGATACTAAGAGACCATGGAGGCCAGCCTGGACTAATATACCCAGAAAACTTTCAATCACCATAGACAGAGTGAACAAGACATTCCAAAACAAAACCAGATTTAAACAATACCTGTCCACAAATCCAGCCCTACAGAAAGCACTAGAAGGAAAATTCCAACCTAAGGAAGTCAGATATACCCATGAAACACAGTCAATAGATAACCCCACAGCAGTAAATCCCAAAGAAGAGAAATACACACACACTACCACCAAAAAATAATGGGAATTAACAATCACTGGTCATTAATATCCCTTAATATCAATGGACTTAATTCTCCTACTAAAGAACACAGGCTAACAAATGGATACAAAAGCAGGACCCATCATTCTGCTGCATATAAGAAACACATATCAACTTCAAAGATAGACACCACTTAAAAATAAAAGGCTGGGAAAAGTCTTTCCAATCAAATGGTCTTAAGATGCAAGCTGTTGTAGCTACCCTAATATCCAACAAAATGGACTTCAAACTAAAATCAATCAAAAGAGATCAAGAAGACATTACATACTCATCACAGAAAAGATCCACCAAGATGAAGTTTCAATTCTGAACATTTATGCCCCACAAAGGCACCCACATATGTAAAACAAACATTACTAAAGCTTAAATCACACATATAACCCCACAAATTAATGGTGGGAGACTTCAACACCCCACTCTCATCACTGGACAGATATGCCAGGTCGAAACCTAACAGAGAAATAAGGGACTTAACTGATGTTATTACTCAAATAGACTTAATCGATATCTACAGAACATTCCACCCTAACAAAAAAGAATATAATTTCTTCTCAGCACTCCATGGAACCTTCTCTAAAATCCACCACATAAATGGTCAAAAAGCAAATCTCAACAGATATAAAAAAAATTGGAATAACCTCCTGTTTTCTATGGTTTAAAGTTAGATTTCAACAACAACAAAAATTACAGGAAGCCTACAATCTCATGGAAACTGAATAATGCTCAACTGAATCACCAATAGGTCATGGAAAAAACAAAGAAAGAAATTAAAGATTTCCTAGAATTCAATGAAAATGCATGTACTATATACCCAAACTTATGGGACACTATGAAAGCAGTGCTAAGAGAAAAATTCATAGCACTAAATGCCCACATAAAAAGGTTGGAGAAATCTCATACTAGTGACTTAATAGCATACCTGAAAGCTCTAGAACAAGACGAAGTAAAGTCACCCAGGAGGAATAGACACCAGAAAATAATCAAATTGAGAGCTGAAATCAATAAAATAGAAACAAAGAGAACAATACAAAAAATTAATGAAGCAAAGAGTTGAATTTTTGAGAAAACCAACAAGATAAACAAGCCCTTATCCAAACTAACCAAAAGGCAGAGCGAGAGCATCCAAATTAACAAAATCAGAAATGAAAAGGGAGACAAAACAACAGACAATGAAGAAATCCAGAGAATCATCGGGTCATACTTCAAAAACCTGTATGCCACAAAATTGCAAAATCTAAAAGAAATAGACAATTTTCTGGATAGGTACCACATACCTAACTTAAATCAAGACCAGATAAACGATTTAAATAGTCCAATAACCCCTAAGGAAATAGAAACAGTCATTAAAAGTCTCCCAACCAAAAAAAGCCCAGGACCAGATGGTTTCAATGCAGAATTCTACCAGATCTTCAACCAAGAGAATACTAACACTCTTTGAATTGTTCCACACAATAGAAACAGAAGGAACATTACCAAACTCCTTCTATGAGGCTACAATTACCCTGATTCCTAAACCAAACAAGGATACAACAAAGAAAGAGAACTACAGACCGAAGTCCCTCATGAACATTGATGCAAAAATACTCAATAAAATACTGGCAAGCAGACTCCAAGAACACATCAAAACAATTATCCACCATGATCAAGTAGGCTTCATCCCAGGGAAGCAAGGGGGGTTTAACATATGAAAGTCTGTCAATGTAATACACCACATAAACAAACTGAAAGAAAAAAACCACAAGATCATTTCATTAGATGCAGAAAAGGCATTTGACAAAATCCAACACCCCTTCATGATAAAGGTCTTAGAGAGATCAGGAATACAGGGAACATACCTAAACATAATAAAGGCAATTTACAGGAAGCCAACAGCCAACATCAAATTAAATGGAGAGAAACTCAAAGTGATTCCACTAAAATCAGGAACAAGACAAGATGTCCGCTCTCCCTATATTTATTCAATGTAGTACTTGAAGTTCTAGCTAGAGCAATAAGACAACAAAAGGAGATCAAGGGGGTTACAAATTGGTAAGAAAGAAGTCAAGCTTTCACTATTTGCAGATGACATGATAGTATACATAAATGACCCCAAAAATGTCACCAAGGAACTCCTACAGCTGATTAAACACCTTCAGTAATGTGGCATGACACAAGATTAACTAAAAAAAAAACCAGTAGCCCTCCTATATACAAATGACATACGGGCTGAGAAAGAAATCAGAGAAACATCACCTTTACAATAGCCACAAATTATATAAAATACCTTTGGGTAACTCTAAGCAAGTGAAGGACCTGTATGACAAGAGCTTTAAGTCTCTAAAGAAAGAAATTGAAGAAGATATCAGAAAAGGGTAAGTTCTCCCATGCTCATGGACACAGGTAGGATTAACATAGTAAAAATGGCAATCTTACCAAAAGCAATCTACAGATTCAATGCAATCCCCCAGTCCTGGAAAGAACAATACTCAACTTCACATGGAAAAACAAAAAAACTAGGATAGCCAAAATAATCCTGTACAATAAAGCAATCTCTGAAGGCATCATGATCCCTGAATTCAAGCTCTACTATAGAGCTACAGTAATAAAAACAGCTTGGTACTGGCATAAAAAGTGACAATGCGGACCAATGGAATCTAATTGAAGACACTGACATTAATCCGCACAGGCATGAACACCAGATTTTTGACAAAGAAGCCAAAACTTCACAATGGAAAAAAGAAAGTATCTTCAACAAATGATGCTTGAATAACTGGATGTCAACATGTAGAAGATTGCAAATATATCTATATCTGTCACCATGCACAAAACTTAAGTCCAAGTGCATCAAAGACCTCAACATAATTCCAGTTACTCTGAACCTAATAGAAGAGAAAGTAGGAAGCTGTCATGAACACATTGGCACAGGAGACCACTTCCAAAATATAACACCAGTAGCACAGACACTGAGAGCAACAATTAATAAGTGGGACCTCTTGAAACTCAGAAGTTTTGTAGGGCAAAGGACATGGTCAATAAGACAAAAACGACAGCCTACAGAATGGGAAAAGATCTTCACCAACCCCACATCTGACAGAGGGCTGATATCCAGAATATATAAAGAACTCAAGAACTAGATATTAAAATACTGAACAGTCCAATTAAAAAATGGTCTATAGAGCTAAACAGAGAATTCTCAAAAGAAGAATCTCAAATGGCTGAAACATTTAAGTAAATTCTCAACATCCTTAGTCATCAGAGAAATGCAAATCAAAATGACTCTGAGATACCATCTTACACCTGTCAGATTGGCTATGATCAATAACACTAATGACAGTCAATGTTGGAGACGATGTGGAGCAAAGGGAACACTCCTCCAGTGTTGGTAGGAGTGCAAACTTGTACAACCACTGTGGAAATCAGTATGGCCGTTTCTCAGAAAATAGGGAATCGATCTACATCAAGACCCAGTCATACCACTCTTGGGCACATACTCAAGGAATGCTCAATCATACCACAAAGATACATGCTCAACTATGTTCATAGCAGCATTATCTGTCATAGCCAGAACCTGGAAACAACCCAGATGCCCGTCAACTCAAGAATAGAATTAAGAAAATGTGGTACATATACACAATGGAGTACTACTCAGCAGAGAAAAACAATGAAAGCATGAAATTTGCAGGCAAATGGATGGAACTAGAAAATATCATCCTGAGTGAGGGAACCCAAACCCAGAAGGACAAACATGGTATGTACTCACTCATAAGTAGATACTAGATACAGAAACATGAATTGTATAATTATTTTACAAAATAACCATCACATTCCTTACTCTATACGTTAGATGTCTGGACATATTTTTGGATTTTAAGAGTCCATATGTTGTTTCTGAGTCTTCTTAAAGCCAACAGTATGTGGAGTGTGTCCAATAAGGATTTGGGACACGCACTCTCATAGATCTGACTTAAATTCATACAGATGCTGCAAAGAAGAGAACAATGGAATGCAGATTTTGAAAGAGTTGGTCATGGAACCACACACACCTTTCAACTCACAATATGTTGCTGGATTTGATGACGACTCTGGAGGACACTAGGACAGACACAAATACAACCAGAGCTGACGATGTGATCATATTCAATCAATGAATCATAATCAATGAATACCTGGGCTGCTCAGGTTTACTCCTTACATATGTATTTGATTCCTGTTCAAATCTTCTGCAATGTCTCTCCATGGACTCTATATAATCATATAGATGGATCAACAGGAACTGAATGTCATCACCCAGAACACCTCCCCTCCAGAGTTTTCCAGACATGACATATCTAACACAGCAAGGCTCATGCATGAGTTGTAAACACAAGGAACTCCCTCCCTCACACTGAAATTAGAATACAATGAGAGAAGCCTGGGAGGAAAGAGACAGGACTGCTCAACAAGGGGAACTGGACTGGACCTGTGAAGAGCAGGAACCAGCATTAGCACTTGGCTTTACAGGTTGGACATGGCAGTGTCCATGTGAAGGACAGGGAGGAAGTGGTTTTGCTCTTGCTAACTGTAAGAAGCATCTGCACATATTGGAACCTCTGGTGTAAGGACAGGGGAAGGTATCCCAGCTGCAGCTGCAGAAAAAGACCCAGGAATGTAACCACAGCAGCCATATCAGTCAAGAACTGCAGAATGGAAATGAAGAAATAATGTAGTCTCGGATTAGATACGAAAGGAGCAACCTGAAAAAAATAAATAAAACCAGAAGAAATCAACATCAGGTCATGACAGTAACAAACACAGATTAATATCCAAAAAGAATGAACAATCACTACATATAGGGAGGAATATTTTAGGCAGTTAAAGAGAAATTCTTCCTCACAGAGTAAATGAAAACAAGTATGTAATCACCAAAATTTAATACCTATAACGAAAGCATGATAGTGAATGAAGAGGCCTAACTTAACATCAGTGCAGCCATGACAGGCTGCAGACTAATGATACAAGGACTAGGCCTTACCCTTACTATAACCAGGAGAAGCAACAGACTGTAACCTGCAGGAGACCAATCAAAATTGAGACAAGTACTAAAAGCTCTAGAACACAAAGAATAGCTTACATAATTTGTATATAGTTTGCCAATTTTCTTGCAGCAACGCCCATACCAGTCACTGTTTAACAAAACCTCTGTTACCTCACTCCTGCCCAATCAGGAGTTCAACCCTCATCTGAATCTGGAATTTTCCTACCCCCATCCTTTACTCCTTAAAAACCCTGCCTCAACTGAGCTCAAGGCTCTCCCTGATCCAACTGCTGTGCTGGAATGGACAGAGAGCCCAAGCTTGTGCTTACAATAAAGTTTCGTTGCTTTTGCATATGAACTTGGACTCCTGGTGATCTCTTGGGGGCTCATGACACATAAGAGTGAAAAAAGTCTCAATTACACATGGAATAGACCATAGAAATTAAGCACATGTAAGATAAATGAAATGAACAAAAGAAAGTATTTATCAAGTCCATAAAATATGTTCAAGTGTTTCCTGTTACAGAATCAGGTAGCATAAGCTGTCCTTGAATTTGTTTTGAAATACAGGAGGGCCAGACGGTCCTGCCTGCCCCTCACAAATGCAGAGATCTCAGGGATGTGCAATAGAGTAGACTGAAGTCTTTCCTATCAAAGGTCTGTTTGCTTTAAATCAGATGAATAAACACAGAGTTCTATGAGCTCTTCCTCACCCTGCTGACCTGACACAAATGCCTGGCACTGGAACCCAAGGTCATGAGAGTTTTTCATCTGTTCCTAGGAACCCTGCTTGCAGACAAACTCAATAATGTCAAGGCTAGATGAAGACATGTTGACAAAACCATTTGGGGACAAGCAGACATTCTGCCTTCTTTATTTACTCAACTCTAAATCAGGGTTAAAGGAACTGCCAAAAATTTAAGAAAACCCACCCTCAAGGTGAATGAATCTGGGTTCAGCTTCTCTAGTCCCCATTCAGCTTTGCACTGGGTCTCTCCCTCCATATGACTGCAGAATGTGTGTATTCTCACCCTAATCAAAGTTTTTCTATAGCAGCTGATTCTGGCAGATTTCCCACGGGTGAACTGCTGGGCCTCAGGTTTTTCCTCCCTTAATTCTCGAACTGGCAGAGAAGATGAACACAATCAAGACCTCAAGACCGTTATACTAGGCCGGCTACAGAGTTCAGGAAGGACCAGACCCCGTTTGCTCTACAGTTTCTGAAAATCTGACAGCGTCCATGTGAGAATGGTTTCCCCAGGTAGCTGCTCACTTAGCTCCCAGCTCCACCTCAGGAGCAGGCAGTCAGCTGACCATCATTAGTTTGCAATCCAGGACTTTATACTATCATCCGCACTACCAGGCAGCTCTCCTGTCCAGGAAGACCAAGGCGGACTCGGGCTGCACGTGGCGTCCTAAGGAAACCATCACTCAAGGCACAGTCCCTATCACCCTCTCCCCAGAGCTGAGCTGAAACCCCACGTGACTCAACCAGTTCTGCACAGCACTCCAAAGAAGCTTATTCTGACTTCCCACCGAAGTCCGCTCCCTCCAAGACAGAACCCCGGACCCCACATATTGGCTCAGACTGAGCTGCACCCTGGACCAACCTCCATGTCAGAGATGCAACAGGATTGTAGAGCAGGGTTGGACTCTCGCCCAACTTTGAGGAAGACCCCCCTTTGGCGACCAAAAGCCGGAAAAGGATTTTCTAGGCCGCTTCCTGTGACGTCACAGTCGCATGGACTACATTTCCCAGAAGTCTGTGCGAAGGAATTCCTGGACTCCTTGTGTGATAGTTACTCCTCCTGGATTAGTTCAGGCTGCCTGCAGTAGAGATGGGACTGAGAAACAGAGTGAGTGGGCTGGACAGCTGTTAGGCCTGAGAAAAACCAACTGCACGAATGTCTGATTAAAGCAAGCTTCATGTTACAGGAGCACCAGGAACTGGTCAGTTGGCTTTCTCTCCCAAACCCGGTATTTCAGAGAGCAGCCCCTCATTGCTTTTTGGGGTCCATTCTAGGGGAAGAGTTAAGGTTAATAGAAAACAGATGTCGAGATAATTGGGCCTTAGAAGTGATGAAATTTAAAAAATAAAAAATGCTAGTTCACTAATATATGGCAGGGGAATCATCAAGGTATCTGGAAAACCATTTTCGTAAGGCAAAAGTGCAATCATATTACAGGTTATTTTTGTAAGGCAAATTGTGAGCATACATCATTGGGTCACAAGTTCAGCATAGGTTGAAACATGTTTTGGAGGGTACATTAGGCTTAGGAAACAGAAACTTATTCTTGTAAACTATGTGGATTTAATATCAATATAAAAAAATGTGGTTTCTTAACAACAATTTGGCTACTGTTTTGGTTTCAAATAGCCATGGGGAGTCAGTCTGGTGTTCACCACCTGATCTACAACACCAGATGTGTGAATGTGTGCTGCTGGAGATTTTTTTGGCTCTTCTGGGAGCCCGCCAACCAGCTCCCAAATAAATTCATTCACGGACGCTTTTTCTTATTTATGAATGCTCGGCTTTGCCTTGGCTTAATTTCTTGACAGCTTTCCTTAACTTATTACATCTACCTTTTACCTCTGGGCTTTTCCCGTTCTCTTATTTCTGTGTCTTACTCTTACTCTGTGGCTTGCTGTGTGTCTGGCTGCTGGATCTCTAATCCCTGTTTCCAGATTTCTCCTTCTATTTATACTCTCTGCCTGCCAGCCCTGCCTATCCTTTCTCCTGCTTTGCTATTGGCCAGTTCTTTATTAGACCATCAGGTGTTCTACACAGACACAGTAACACAGATTCACAGAGTTAAACATGTACAACATAAACAAAAGTAAAGCGCCTTAAAAAAATTCTACTACAAATGTGAGTCGAGACTTTAACAGAAATATTAGGCTTACAGGTCATTTCTGGTGCACATGTTCTCATTTTACTTACTACAGCATTAAAAAAAAATCATGTTGATCAGTTGTACTTTAAAATGATAAAGCAATACTGTGTGAGATAATCTTTTTTTGTACACTGTGAAGATCTGTCTTTGCCAAGGCACCTTCTGATTTCTTTAATAGAGCTGAGTGGCCAATATCGAGGCAGGAGAGGACAGGCAGGATTCATGGGACAGAGCAGAAGAAATGAATCCAGTTGCAAGGAGACACCTGTTACTTGAGGACCAAGACAGGCATACAGAATGGTGGAGACAATTAAAGAGAAGCCATGGGGCAGATCGAAGATTAATGAAGGCAGGTTAAATTGAGTTATAAGAGGTAGCTAGGGAAAAGCCTACACTAAAGGGCAAGTGTTCATAATCACTAAGAAATCTCCCTGAACGTGCTCCCCATGCTGGATAACCTTGCCCAGCTTTTATGCAGAGGGAGGAGCTCAGTCCTACCTCAACTTGATATGTCATGCTTTGTTCAAGCACATGGGAGGCCTGCCCCTTTCTGAAGGGAGACAGAGGAGGAGTGGATGGGAAGGGGAATAGATGTGAGTGTGTGTGTGTTTGTGGGGGGAATTGGAGGGGACGAGGGAGGGGAAACTGTGATTGGTATGTAAAATAAATGAAAAACCATTAATAACATAAAATAAAAGGAGTCTTCCTGTCGTTATTTCAGACTGTTGGTCCAGACAAGTAAGGAAAACTGCACAATACAGTAACGTGAATGAAAAGTATCTTTAAGAAGATTTTGAATCCAGCCTTGTTCTCCGTGAATGTGCTAAGTGCTCAGAGGCTTCTGACAAATGGACCCAATCCAAACCTGGACTGGAAAATTTAGAGACATTCTCTGGGGTGGGGGGTGGGGAACAGAAGACAAAAACAAAACAAATAAACCCAAAGTAAAGAAATTGAGGAAAAGATGAACAAAAAAGTGGAGGAAATCAATAAAGAAGTTGAGAAAAAGTCAAACAAAAAATGGGAAGAAATCTATAAAGAACTAGAGGAAAAGACATATAAAAAATTGGAAGAAAGCAACAAATCCCTTAAAGAAAACCATGAAGAAGCAAGGAAACAGGTGAGGGAAACAGTTCAGGACATGAAAAGGGAAAAAGAAACAGTGAAGAAGACACAAGCAGAGGGAATGCTGGAAACAGAAAATCTGAGTAAACGAACAGGAAACACAGATGCAAGCAAGTATAACCAACAGAATACAAGAGATGGAAGAGAGAATCTCTGGTGCAGAGGATACAATAGAGGAATTGGATTCGTCAGTCAAAGAAAACAACAAAGCCAAAAAAGTCATAACACAAAATGCCCAAGAAATCTGGGACACCATGAAAAGACCAAACCTAGGAATAATAGGGATAGAAGAAGGAGAATACCAACTCAAAGGCACAGAAAATATACTAAACAAGATCATAGAAGAAAACGTTCCCAACTTAAAGAAGGAAACACCTATGTAGATACAAGAAGCCTATAGAACACCAAACAGACTAGACCCCCCAAAAGTCCCCTCACCACATAGTAATTAAACAACTAAACCTACAGAATAAAGAAAGAATATTAAGAGCAGCAAAGGGAAAAGGCCAAGTGACTTATAAGGCAGACCCATCAGAATAACACCCGACTTCTCAGTGGGGACTTTGAAAGCCAGAAGGACCTGGACAGAGGTAATGCAGATACTAAGAGACCATGGAGGCCAGCCTGGACTAATATACCCAGAAAACTTTCAATCACCATAGACAGAGTGAACAAGACATTCCAAAACAAATCCAGATTTAAACAATACCTATCCACAAATCCAGCCCTACAGAAAGCACTAGAAGGAAAATTTCAGCCTAAGAAAGTCAGATACACCCATGAAACACAGGCAATAACCCCACAGCAGTAAATCCCAAAGAAGAGAAATACACACACACTACCACCAAAAAATAATGGGAATTAACAATCACTGGTCATTAATATCCCTTAATATCAATGGACTTAATTCACCTATAAAAAGACACAGGCTAACAAATGGATACAAAAGCAGGACCCATCATTCTGCTGCATATAAGAAACACATATCGTGCACTGGCACACAGTAGGCGCTCAATAAATGTTGAATGAATGATTTAAAAAAAAAAAGAAATACATATCAACTTCAAAGATAGACACTACTTAAGAATAAAAGCCTAGGAAATGTCTTTCCAATCAAATGGTCTTAAGATGTAAGCTGTTGTAGCTACCCTAATATCCAACAAAATGGACTTCAAACTAAAATCAATCAAAAGAGATCAAGAAGGACATTACATACTCATCACAGAAAAGATCCACCAAGATGAAGTTTCAATTCTGAACATTTATGCCCCACAAGGTAACCCACATATGTAAAACAAACATTACTAAAGCTTAAATCACGCATATAACCCCACAAATTAATGGTGGGAGACTTCAACACCCCACTCTCATCACTGGACAGATATGCCAGGTCGAAACCTAACAGAGAAATAAGGGACTTAACTGATGTTATGACTCAAATAGACTTAATCGATATCTACAGAACATTCCACCCTAACAAAAAAGAATATAATTTCTTCTCAGCACTCCATGGAACCTTCTCTAAAATCCACCACATAAATGGTCAAAAAGCAAATCTCAACAGATATAAAAAAAATTGGAATAACCTCCTGTTTTCTATGGTTTAAAGTTAGATTTCAACAACAACAAAAATTACAGGAAGCCTACAATCTCATGGAAACTGAATAATGCTCAACTGAATCACCAATAGGTTATGGAAAAAATAAAGAAAGAAATTAAAGATTTCCTAGAATTCAATGAAAATGCATGTACTATATACCCAAACTTATGGGACACTATGAAAGCAGTGCTAAGAGGAAAATTCATAGCACTAAATGCCCACATAAAAAGGTTGCAAAAATCTCACACTAGTGACTTAACAGCACACCTGAAATCTCTAGAAGAAGAAGAAGAAGCAAAGTCACCCAGGAGGAATAGACACCAGAAAATAATCAAATTAAGAGCTGAAATCAATAAAATAGAAACAAAGAGAACAATACAAAAAATTAATGAAGGAAAGAGTTGTTTCTTTGAGAAAACCAACAAGATAGACAAGCCCTTATCCAGACTAACCAAAAGGCAGAGCGAGAGTATCCAAATTCACAAAATCAGAACAGAAAAGGGAGACATAACAACTGACACTGAGGAAATCCAGAGAATCATCAGGTCATACTTCAAAAACCTGTATGCCACAAAATTGCAAAATCTAAAAGAAATAGACAATTTTCTGGATAGGTACCACATACCTAACTTAAATCAAGACCAGATAAACGATTTAAATAGTCCAATAACCCCTAAGGAAATAGAAACAGTCATTAAAAGTCTCCCAACCAAAAAAAGTCCAGGACCAGATGGTTTCAATGCAGAATTCTACCAGATCTTCAACCAAGAGAATACCAATACTCTTTAAATTGTTCCACACAATAGAAACAGAAGGAACATTACCAAACTCCTTCTATGAGGCTACAATTACCCTGATTACCAAGCTAAACAGTGATGCAACAAAGGAAGAGAACTACAGACCAATCTCCCTCATGAACATTGATGCAAAAATACTCAATAAAATACTGGCAAACAGACTCCAAGAACACATCAAAACAATTAT